GATGATAGATAGATGATAGATAGATAGAGATGGATAGATAGATAGATGATAGATAGATAGATAGATAGATAGATAGATAGATAGATAAAAGAATCTTACATTTTTAGAAGATTAATCCCTGTACTCTTGTTACTTTGACATTTTCTGACTAGTAGAAAAATGCAGAAATTATAGCTCTCTGCACTGTTTGTTTGTCATCCCTATTTGTTTTGCTTCACAACAGAGCAGATTTTAATTTTCAGATGTTAATTGATGGATGGTGACTAAAGTGTGTTCCAGAATGAAATTATTTGGAAGTGTGTGCCAAATAAAAATTATTCAGTAAAGGTTTATGTTCTATAAATTTTGCCACTATAAATTTTACTTATTAGTTACAATATTAAAATAATAAGAAATAACAGTATTTGCTTGTGGTATTTCCTGTGCAGGTTTCTGTTCATGTTAGAAACACTGACTTCTTTGTTTCCCTGATTAAATATTACTTAAGGGCAGACACAGATTTTTAGTTTACGGTAGATCAAGTATTCAGCATCTTAAAGCAAATTAATAAACTTCTGAGCCCAATTATTGGCATAGTTTTAATCTGTCATTATATGAATAGGTCCAAAATAATTTTGAATTCTTTCTCCTTTTTCCCTCCTTCCCCAACCCATGAATATTTATGTGTATGTTACACAGTCTTAACAACAGGGATACATTCTGAGAAATACGATGTTAGACAGTTTTGCTGTGCAGATACCAAGAATGTACTTACACAAATCTAAAGGGTATGCCCTGCTACACACCTTGGCTCTATTACAGTCTTACGGGATGACCATTGTATCATTGACCAAACTATGTGGCACATGAATACACACACATCTGCACTTATGTACATGAATATGCAATCTGTCGCTTATCTCTTTACCCGTAACAAAGAGATGCTTGGATCTATACTAATTTTTAATGGGTATATACCTTTGTTAAAATTTCCAATTTACATTTAAATTCCTTATTTTTTTGGTCTCCCACATTTACTTTCTATTTTCTTTACTCTCTCAGCTCAGGCATCTTAAAATTACTCCTCCTTCCGTCTCTTTAATAGCCCTGCCCTAATTCTGTCTTCAAATAAAAATTTACCTTGCTTGTAAAAGATAAGTTTCAGGCTAGGATTGTATCTCATTTGGTCGAGTATTTGCCTGGCATGGGTGAGGCCCTGAATTTGATCCCCAGCACTGCATAAACAAGACCTAAGGGCATCCTCCTATAATCCCAGCACTCACAAGGTGGAGGCAGGAATATCAGGAGTTCAAGATCATTCTTGGCTACATATTGAGTTAGAAGCTAACTTAGGCTACATGAGACTCTATCTCAAAAAATAAAAGATTAATGTTGTTATGTAGTTTAGCAATAATGATTCTTCATTTAGTCAACAAGTATTTGAATATCTTTTAAATAAATCAGGGGATGTTATGCAGAGGAATTCATTCTAAATAGGGTTAAAAGACAGCCCTCTGATTTGAGATGTGTTATACAGTCATATATTCATTAACAAAGGGGATACAAACTAACAATTATAGTATGGTAGTTACCATTAAATATGTTTCTGTGGCTACATGGAAATGGAACTGCTGTGACCCATGAAGACAAGACAGTGCAGGAAATTCTACAGTGAAGGTGGCATTTATCCTAGGTCTACTAATGCATTATCAGTTAAGCAAAGGTGTTCCAAAGAGCAATCAATACCAGTAGAAGCAAGGGGGTATATCAAAGTGTGACATTTTAAGGGAACAGGAAACACTTTGCTATGACTGAAAGGGAAAGTTTATATAGGGTTCGATGGAAGAAATTAGACTAGTTTAGTACTCACGTAAAGAAAAACTCCAGAAAGTTGTTCTGGATGTTTCTTAAATACTGTGAGCAGCCATTAAATGATTGATTATTAAATAGTATAATATTTGTGTCTTAACACCTCTGTGAGACTACTGTGGGGAGGGAAAGTTTAAGGCATTGAGTAAAAGTGAGCAGAAAGGCTATGCAGGAGGCTTGTCACAGTTACTTAACCTACTTAAGTTAGTGATATTAGACAGACAGGCAGAATGACCTTATGAAATATTTACTGGATAGAATTGGTAAAACTTGACTGAAGTTAGAATAAAGATGTAGAAATGCAGAGAGAAGTAGAAGGTGACTTTTACTTCACTTGATTTACCAAAATTGGAAGAAATTTTGCTATTCAGGTTTGAAATATCTATTACAGATGCCTACTTGTGGACATTTTCATTTTGTAGTTGTACTCATTATTAGACTAGAGGTCAGGGTTGAGAACTGGTTTTTTGTTTGATTTGTTAAATGATTGGTCCGTTGGTTAATTTTTTGAGACAAGGTCTCACTCTGTAGTCGAGGCTGACCTCATGACAGTCCTTCTTCCCCAGTTTCCTAAGTGCAAGGATTACAGGTGTGAACCAACACACCCGAATCTGAGTTGTTATTCTTTGTTAACAGTGGAGGCCATAGACTTGATTGAGACAACTCGTAAGACATCCAAATTGAGAACAGTGGTGGTCTAACAGCAGAACACATTTTAAAAGAATTTAGGCTATGAAAGAATCTGATAAAGACCTGAAGAGAGAGCCAAGGAGAAGTAGTGTCACAGAAATCAAAAGTTGAATGATGGAATGAGTTGTGAAATATTGAATACTGCTGAGAGATTGACCAGAATCACTTTAAAAGGCAGCCAGTTTATTAAGACATTGTTGGCCCTAGCGAAAGCCATTTCACTACAGTGGTTTAGGCAAGTAAGATTACATTGAATTGAGGAGTAAGCGATGGGCATAGAGTACTCTGTCAGCCTGGTGAAGAGGAAGGAGAGCTTGTGTGGCAGCTGTATTTTTAATGCTGAAGAGAAATGTCTAGTATAGCACTTTACATACATGGAGATTGGCCAGGGGTGAGATCCCAGCCACGTCTGTAATATCCACACTCAGGAGCCTCAGGCAGAAGTTCCAGACCACCTTAAACTACAATGCAAGTTCCAGGTCAACCTGCGTTCATTTTTTTCTCATACAAAGGATCAGGTTTCATTGTGACACTTTTCAAGCAAATTTTGTTTTTGTTAATCCTCCTCTCGCCACTACTTCCCTCCCCTCTCCCTCCCTTCTCCCTCCCTCAGTAGCCTTCTTTCCATTTACATATCCTGTGTATTCTTTTGCCCAACCTCATTCCTCTTCCTTGTTCTTCTCTCTGGTTTGTTTCCAGTTTCATACCCTAAACCCATTCTCAAACCCACATATATGCATACATACAAATACTAAAAGTTAGGAAATACTTAAGAGAGAACATGTCTTTTTTGTCTTTCTGAGCCTGGTTCAAACTCATTTAATAAGGTACTTTGCAGATTTAACCATTTTCCTAAACTTTTATAACTTCATTTTTCTTTACTGCTAAATAAAATCCCATTATGTATGATGCCTCATTTTCATTAGCCATTCATCTGTCAATGGACATCTAAGCTGGTTCTAGCTCCTCGCTGTTGTGAACAGTGTAGCAGTAAACGTGAATGTCCAAGTATCTCTGTAGTAGGTAATAGAATCCTTTGGGTTATACCCAGGAGTGGTATAGCTGGATTATATGGTAGTTGTATTTTAATTTTTTGAGAAGCCTTCATACCGATTTCCATAAAGAACAACACTAGTTTATACTCCCACCAGCAGTAATTAAGGGCTCCTCTTTCCCCACATCCTCAACAGCATTTGTTGTTTGTTTTCTTGATCTTAACCATTCTGACTGGGCTGAGATAGAATGTCCTAATTTGCATTTTCCTGATGGCTAAGGATGTTGAATGTTTTTTAAAATATTTATTGACCATCATGTTTCTTTAGAGAACTGTCTGTTCATTTCATTGGCCTGTTTGTTGATTGACAGTCTGAGGGTTTGGGGGTTTGTTTCTTTGTTTGTTTGGTTGGTTGGTTAATTTTTGTAGTTTTACTCTATCAACCCCCTGCCTGAGATGTACTTGGTAAAGATTTTTTCCCATTCTGTAGTGTCTGTTCACTCTGCAGATGGTTTCCTTTGCGGTACAGAAACCTTTTCCTTTCATTTCATGCAGGCCTATTTGTTAATTCTTGGCAGCCTGGTCTATTTTAAAAAAAAAAAAATGATATAGTAATGATTGGTGAAAAAATACTCTTAAATTATTTTTTCGTTAGTGTTTATTAATTGTACCAATAGGTTTCTTTATAACATTTACACATATGTAATGTTCTTTGATCATATTACCTCTTCTCTTTTCTTACCCCTCTTCCACCCTCCCCCTTCTGTTCCCTAGTAGTCCTGCTTGGACTTTCTTATCCTTTTTTAAAAATAAATATTCTAGTAAATACTGGAAAAAATGTTCAACATCTTTAGCCATCAGGGGAAATGTTCTTATTATTGTAGGAAAAGTTGCGTTGGGGATCAAAAATGATTTGAAACAATTGATTCTGGATAGAAAAATGCTGATCTTTTCCTTAGAGTCAAAAAAAGAAGACTATCAGAATTATATTTCAGATTATAATAAATGGGTTAATCTATGTTTTAGTTATATATTTACTTCCCTTTCCAAATTATATACAGTTAAAAATTTTAAGAATCAAAAATTTTAATTCAGAGACTGTTCTTTAAATATAGAAATAATTTTATATTTAGCCAATTTTAGTAAATTCCATTTGTTCATGTATAGTTTTTCAATTATGATTTATTCTTTATCATTGAAATTGGTTATTAGCTGAAAGTTCATTTTGTATTAAGTGTGATCTTAGAGAATCATAACCATTAACAGCCCTTGTTTGTCTTGACAGTCAAAAGCAGCGTATGTACTCTTCTACCAGAGACAAGACACTTTCAGTGGAACTGGCTTTTTCCCTCTTGACCGAGAAACTAAAGGTGCTTCAGCTGCCACAGGCACACCCCTAGAAAGTGACGAAGATAGCAATGATAATGACAATGACATAGAAAACGAAAACTGTATGCATACTAATTAATGGAAATCCTAGAAGCCATAAGAGAGACTTTCCTGCTGGTGGTATCTATGGAGATGAAGTTATCCACCACATTAAAACAGAAGTCTGAGATGAGGAGTTTCAGATAACCGAATGTAAATCCTTTATCAGATTTTAACTTGTGCAGTACTTGAAGTGAAACACAATGAAAACTTTAACAGAAATTGTCTCTTAATACATTTACAGTCTTGTATTTACAAGCTAAATATATATAGGAAATCACAAATAAATCCCTTTTAAGTTTGCTGCTGTTTTGATGAATTATGTTTCTTTAATCTTTTGGATGTGAGTTAATTGATGACAGATGTTAAATTTGTGGATGTTGGTTATTAATTTTGCTCTAATAATACTGCAAGAAAACTATGGCTGAACTTAGTTCTTGGATAATCTAGTTCATGTGCTAACGTTAGGCTGCCATCTATACCACTGTATTTAGCTGCAGTGTCAGTGTGGCATAAATACTGCAGTAGTGTCCTTGGAAAACCCAATTTTCAAATCTGTTCTGGTAATCAAGATGGGCCTATTTTTAAAAAAAATCTATCATAACATGAGAAACAATCTTGAAAAAGTAATTTCCTTTCATTGTATCATTAAAATGCAGACTATTACATTCATCTTACTGTGAACTGTAGAAACAGTTTCTAGATTTCACACTCCATCAAAAACCATTTTTCAGCTACATGTAAGTATTTTTTACTGCTTATTGGAATCTGTTCTTTAGAATTTCAAATTTGTCTTTAAAATGCATATCTTTAATCAGGTATTGGTCCAGGGTTTAATTTTTTGCTGTCATTCTCTACCCCATTTTTTGGTAATTTGGCAACTTTTAGTTCTCCCACTTGTAATATAAGGACAGACTTAATAGTACTCTGTATCCATAGTAATAATTGCATCAAGCTTAGGTGAGACATTTGTTTTGTTTTGTTTTGTTTTCATATACTAGCCTTTAAATCATTGGTAAATTGGCTATAAAGGTAGGTCTGTTAACTTTCTTTGTGTGTTCCTGATGGAATTCACCATAGCCTTACAGCTTTTCTCAGAAGGTAATTTGTTAAGAGAAATGGCATTTGCATGTTCCAGAGTCAGCCTGTACAGTATATGAAGCATACAAACCTTGAATTTCATTTTAGTTTATCACATTTCAAGGATCCAAGATGCCAAATATATGTGTGATCATTTGAAACATTTTCATTTGCTGCTTTCTTTCCCTGTGATCTAGTTGAAAGAATGTATTGTGGATTGGCATACAATACTGCCTTTAATAGAAAACGAAATGCTGGGGCACATTTCACATACGACTACCTGAGAAATTGCTTTGTGTCCCACTGTTACTAAAGCAAAAAGTATAATGTTCTTCACTTGAACTAATCAAATACAATAGATTATAAATTGTGTATTGTAAATAAAAGTTCACTCTGTGAGTGCACATTTTGGTAAATTATTTATTTATGTTAGCATTTTAAAGTTTAAAAAAAATGCATTTCACCAGGATAAATAAGGTATGTTGATCATGGCTTTGCTTTATAGCTTGATATTAAAGCTGGTTTTTTCATCCTGGTATTTTAAAAGCTGCTTTGGGTTTTTCTTTTTTCCTTTTTCTCTTTTTTAAGTCCCTTTTTTTTCTCTCTCTCTTTCTCCCTCCCTCCCTCCTTCCCCCCCACTCTTTTTTAATGTAAACTAACCTCCTGCATGACAGAGGTTAAAATTTTGTCTGCACTTGGGTTCACTTGAGTTTACATTTGAAATGTGCATGTTTATTTATACAGATTTCAATAAAGCTATTCAAGGCCTTATTTAGTCTTTATTTCTTACTCTGAATCTGTTTATGAAAATGCCCTATCTTATGCATAATGACTTTATGCTAGACTTCTATGCTATACTAGAAAGAGCGAAGTGAATCCTATTAAGGATGTTTTAAAGCTCGGAAATTTTTTATTTATATATTTATTAAACAAATGCCAATCCTCTACCATATGGAGATACATTAGTAAACAAATATCTCTACCCTCATAAAGCATACATTCTTTCTGTCATTTACCAACTAATAGATTTTATTTCCTTTTTTAAAAAAGCATTTAAAGAAAAGACCATGTTAACTTTTTCTAGATTTATAGTCTCCACTCTAATTCTCCATAGAAACTAGTTCCTTTTTTGTTTTGTTTACTTGCTAATATATTTGTTTGCTCATTTTTTTAGGTTGGTGTCAGGCTGACCTCCGGCTTACTGTGGCTAGCCTCAAACTCTTGATCCTCTTGCCTAGGCCTCTCAAGTTCTGAGATTATGAGTGAGCCCCACCATACCCAGGCAAAAGCCACTTTCTTTTTAATGCCTTCCATCAACTTCTTTCCCACTAAACAAAACATTTAAATTCAGGAATCATGTTAATGCAATTAAATCTGTCAAATATCATCTTCATCTGCAAAAAGTAAACTTTGTGGTATAAAAAGATAATACATACTCTGATTAAAAGTAGATATTCAGCCAGGTGTGGTGATACACGCCTTTAGTCCCAGCACTCGGGAGGCAGAGGCAGGTGAATCTCTGTAAGTTCAAGGCCAGCCTGGTCTACATAGTGAGTTCCAGGACAGCTAGGGCTACAGGGAGACCCTGTCTCAAAAAGACCCAAAAAAAAAAAAAGTAGATATTCAAGTCCCCCCCAACCCCCTCCGGTGTGAGGTGGCACACACCTTTAATCCCAGTACTTGGGAGGCAAAGGCAGGCAGATCTCTCTGAGATCAAGGCCAGCTTGGTCTACATAGCAAGTTCCAGACCAGCTGGGGCTACAGGGAGACCTTGTCTCTAAACAACAACAACAACAAAAATATCCATATGGTAATACAGGGTAGTAGGAATATATCTAGATTGGAATTATAACTTTGCATGTTAGTAATCATGTGGCTTTGAACTTAATCTTTCCTAAACTGTTTCTTCACCTATAAAATTATGATGATAATAACTGATGTTTGTTGAGGACTTACTCTAGACCAAGCAAAAGTGTTTGTGTACTTTGTCTCATTTAATCCCACAAAAGCTATGTGGTATGAAGAATCACAATCCTCACTTTTCATAGGTTGAGAAAAAGGCATAGAGCATTTAATAATATCCCCAAATTCACACAATAACTATGTGGTAGAGCTGGTATTCTATTCCCAGATACATAGTACCTCTCGTGTTACAGTGTCTGCCTCTCAGGAATGTTAGAACCCAAATGAGATCATCCTATCGCTCATCAGAGTTCTGTGAACAGTATGGATGTATGTTCATTACTTACTTTTTTTGAAAGTGATTTTAAGTAGCTTTACTTCTTTTTTAAAAAAAATATTTTATTTGATGTGTATGTGTATTGCCTGCATGTGTGTAAGTGCACCTGTGTCATGCAAGTAGCTTTACTTCTAAAAAATCTTCATCTCCTTGAATAAGAAAAGTATCACCTTTCCCTTTAAAAATTAACTTCATCAACTTGTGTGTGTGTGTGTGTGTGTGTGTGTGTGTGTCACTATTTTAATTAAACACTAAATACTATGTGGTATATAGTTTAAATTATTTCCCTAAATACAACCCTGAAAATTATTTCCCTAAATGCAACCCTGAATTTTAGGGATATTTTTTTCTTCACCTGTAATCTTTTATTTTTTTTTATTTTACACATATAAGTATTTTGGCTGCATGTAAGTGTACTGCATGGGTGCAATGCCTGCAGAGGTCAGAAGAGAGTGTAAGATTCCCTGGGACTATCACGTGGGTGCTGGGAACCAAACCTGAGTCCTCCACAAGAGCAGCCAGTGCTCCTAATGGCTGAGCCATCTCTCCAGCCCCTTAACCTGTTCATTTTTATTGCCAGTCTTACTTATGTTATTGGGATGGGAGATGGACACTTGGGCACATGCCATGACACTCTTGTGGAGATTAGAGAACTTGCAGGCGTTTTCTCCTTCCACCGTCTGGATCCCAAGAAGCTAACCCAGGTTATCAGACTTCACAGCAGGCAAAACGTGTGTATTCTAACATTTTTCTCAGTAATAAATTCTTCCTCTGTTCATCTTAGGTATGCTAATTTTCAAAAAAAATTAGACTCATATATTAAAGTGTTTCGCTTGTACCTAAATGCGTGTGTGCGCGCACACACACACACAGACTTATATCTGTTATCCTATAATTAGTGGGAGCATTAAATTTATTTTCCTGTTTGTATTATAAGGAACCTGAAAAATTATAAAAATTTTTTTTAGAATTGCTCTCATTTTGAGAAAAAGTTTGTACAGGAGAAATATTCTTTCTAATTTGAGAAAGAAATCCTATAAGATGCCCTTAAATTTTAATTGCTGCTGTTGCGTTTAGAAAACTGAAAGTTGTATTCACTTTTAATCATGTACGAACTGAAGTAACTAAATTCAAACAGTAACTGTTTTTGATATTCAGGTAATATATTATCTGCAGTGATGCAAGATATAGAGTATTGCATCCCAGTCTGTGAGGATCAAGTTCATGGATGTGAGGATACAGAGTACTGTCTCACTTAGAAACTAAGAAGCTACTAAAGTTTCTTATGAGCATAATTTCATAATTTATACATTTATGGTCTTTTCTCTACCTTCGGCAGTATGGATTGTGTGGCTTTTCCCCCTAGTTCATTAAAGACTAAAGTTATCGGAGTTATAGGACATTATCCAAAAAACAGCAGTTATAGTTGTTTTTGTGTTTGGATACTGTTTTAAGTGTGTTAGTCTTCTATAATAAAATACCATAAACTGGGTGACTTAAATAATTCAGACCTCTTTTTTTTCCATTCTGGATGCTGGAAATCCAAGACCAAGTTTCCTGACTTGTTGGTTTCAGGATAAGGGCGCTCTTCCTGGCCTATAGAAATAAGGCTGCCTGCATTCTGCTTTCTCACATGGCCAAGAGAGTAGGGAAGAGACTGTTGGTGTCCCTTTATAAAAGGCACAGATTCTGTCATAAAGGCCTTTTCAAAACCTTGTGTAAATGTAATCATTTCCCAAAGACCCCAGCGCCAAATACTATCAAATTGGAATTGGGGCTTTGGTATGAATTTAAGGACGGCCATTTAGTCTACAGAAGATACACTTGGTAACAGTAATGGGTATTGTAGCTTAGCCATTACTAAATAGCAGCATACCAGTGGCAGCCTGTATTAGCCTCCTTTTTGGAGAGGTCTACTCGCTATGATTGTATGTCCTAGCCTCCTAGCCACCAGTTGCTAATTACTTCAGTGTACTCTTTGTTC